AGATAATTGAAGGAACTCTCTCCTAACTATACCTTTAATAGCTGAAACAAGTATAACAAACTTTAAAAAAAAAAAAAAAAAACTAGCCTCACATTCACATTGTCATCCTCCTTTGTGAAGAGCAAAACCCAATAAAAAATATCGAAACCAAAGGCAGACACTCTAATATGAAGTTTCCAAATAAGAGAACACTAAACATGATTAACTCAAGTAAATTAAAGCATAAAATTGCTGGCTATATTTGACTATTGTAAGTTTTTAAAGATTCTTTTTTCATGGCAAAGGCGATTATAAATGCGAAAGCTTTTGCTCCTAAGAGTATCACAAATCTTCCGTTAACTAAAAAATTATTATCTGATCCATGGCCTCGTTTTCTTCAGCATTGATCATTGTTTCATCCCAAACTCCAATCCCCAGAACCAAAATTTCAGAAATTAAGAAAATAAACCTCAAGATTACACCTACCTCTTTCTCTACTGCCCCGAAATTTACAACTTCCCAATGTCATAAAATCGTTTCTAAACCCCAAAAAACCTTCAGTTATCTGTCTACACAACCTTTCATTGCTGTAAGCTTTGTTTCTCCGAAAACTTTTTCTTTACAATTACCCTTTTGAGGTTTATATATCGTTGATCATTGTCCTAATTAAATAATCCAGGATGAATCTTGCCTTGAAAATTCAGAAGTGGTAGAGGTATTCAAGCAGATATTAGGAAAAGTTGGAGCAGATTCATTTGAATGCTTGGCCATGATTGATGCTGTTCAACGATTAGGCATCGACCACTATTTTGTACGACAGAATGAAGAAGTTCTTGGAAAGAAGTATGCCTTATTCTGTGAAAATGGTCTTCTTGGCCGCAATCTTTATAAGGCTGCACTTTCCTTTCGGTTGCTTAGACAACATGGTTACCAAGTGCCAGCAGGTATATACATATGCTTGAAAAGTTTAAAATGCTACCTCAATTGACATGTTAACTGTTGATGGTTAACTGCAGGGATATTTAATGTGTTCAAAGACGGGAAGGGAAGGTTTAAGCATGAACTCAGCACGGACATTACTGGGTTACTGGAATTATATGAAGCTTCACAGCTAAGTATAGAGAGAGAAGATATACTTGATGAAGCAAGAGAGTTTAGTGCCCAACACCTCAAAGCATGGGAAGAAAAACTTAACCATTCTCATGCTAGATTTGTGAAGAATACACTGGATCATCCTTATCATAAAAGCCAATCAAGAGTCGTGGTCTCAAACCTCCTTGCGAATCTCCAAGGTTGTACGAATGAGTGGATGTATGCCCTACAAGGACTAGCCATGAGGGATTTCAATTTAGTCCATTCCTTACACCGACAGGAAATAATGCAATTTTCCGAGTAAGTTGATCTAGCCGATCTTGTTGTAATATTATAGGTGTAGGACATTTTCATTTATATTTGCAACAAATTTTCCAACTAGATATTTTTTGGGCATGTCAGATGGTGGAATAATCTTGGTTTGGGTAAGGAGCTGGAGTTTGTAAGAGATCAACCGGTGAAATGGCACATTTGGTCCTCGGCATGCCTTGCAGATCCGAGCTTGTCAGAGGAGAGGATTGAACTCACAAAACCAATTTCGCTTATTTACGTAATTGATGACATCTTTGATGTCAAAGGATCACTTGAAGAACTTACTCTCTTCACAGAAGTTATCAATAGGTATATATGGATCAAAGTATTTAGCCTCTAAACAAAAATTTTTAAGATAAGAAAAGCCAAATTATGAAGAAACTGACAAATTAATATTATTTCATATTAGATGGGATTATGCTGCCATTGAGCGGCTTCCAGGCTATATGAAGATATGTTTCAAGGCACTTCATGAAATTACAAATGAAATTAGTCACAAGGTGTACCAGAAGCATGGATGGAACCCGGTGGACTCCCTTAGAAAAACGGTAAAGAACTCCAATTGCTATCTATACTATAAATTACTTGATAATCTGGTGATGAGTTAGCATTTAACAAAACTTATGAGTGCTTTCTAATTGTTGCAGTGGGTGAATTTATGCAATGCGTTTCTAGTAGAAGCGAAATGGTTTGCTTCAGGGGAGCAACCAAATCCTGATGAGTACTTGAGGAATGGGATAATCAGTTCAGGGGTGCATATTCTCCTCGTGCACGTTTTCTTTCTGTTAGGTCAAGGTCTAACAAAGGAAAATGTAGAGGTAATTGACAATAATCCGGGCATAATATCATCCGTGGCAACTATTTTGCGACTCTGGGATGACTTAGGAAGTGCCAAGGTAAAAATAAGATGTTGACACTAATTGATATATATTTTGGTTCAACAGAGTACACGACATACTCATTAAAAATTTATTGTTTTTTGATATGAAATTAAAAGTAGATAAATTTATAAATACAACGATACATATTAGATGTAAGAACTAACTGAATTAGTTATACTTATATTATATTTTAATAATTGAAAAGAAACAAGTATTAGAAAATGCATTGAACCGAGTTTATAATAATCATTTTCCTATATATATATATTTTTTATCTATCATTTTATTTTATTTTATTTTGGGGTTAATTGCACAATAACAAACAACTCTTTTCGATCCCTTAACTCAACCAACTTACATAGAATGTAACTCGAACTCATGGTTGTTGGGAAGATAGATATATTAGTTTGATTTATAATCACACTTTTCCCACAGATGCAATTAAGGGTTAGCTAGCTCATACTGATTTTTTGTCTGTAAACTTTAGGATGAGAATCAAGAAGGCCATGATGGATCTTATGTGTATTTCTACATCAAGGAACATCAAGGGGTTAGAGTGGAGGAGGCACGGAACCATGTTAATCAAATGATTTCAAAGGCTTGGAAGCAGCTGAACCAAGAATGCCTCTTTCCAAATCCACTTTCATCTTCTTTCAAAAATGCTTCTCTCAACTTTGCAAGAATGGTCCCTTTTATGTACAGTTATGATGAAAACCAACGTCTCCCAAGCCTGGAGGATTACATGAAGTCACTTCTCTGAGAAACAAGAAAATAAAAACTTCAGGAAAAGAGATAGCTAGGTAATTTAGCTCTTACCTCAACTAGACAAGATATAAGTTAATAAGTTTGGTTATTATAAAGATTTGAATTCTTGTTATCTAATAGATGTCTCAATAATTAAGAGTTTAAATCTTTATGTAAGAAGTCTTAAGTTCAAAACTTGAGTTGTATAAATAGAACTATCATAAGATCTTAAGAAAAAATTGAATTCAAAATAAAATTGAAACTTTCAATTAAATGAATAGTATCTACGGGATGGGTGGGAATCATCTGGTAGGAATTTTAACTCTCTACTTTGACTCTACTACTTCAGAAAAATTCCTCATTCATGTTTTGATCCAATAATGATAAAACACAATCATGATTCATGAATTCAAAAAATGTACTTCTCCATGAAATAAGATATTTCAATACTAAAAATCCATTTTTCAGCAACATGGGAGCATGTTGGTGAAAATGCATCCCATGTTGTTGATGCCTTTGTTGGAGAAGCTGTGGTGGGTAATTGTTTACACCATAAATTGCAAAATTTTAGATTAATGCCACGTGTAAAATTTTTATTGGCTAGAGGAGTTTTGAGCCATGTCAGATTCGGATCCTGGGCCCCATGACAGATCAGCACGTGAGTTGGCAAGATAAGAGAGGTAAAGATAATGTTGAGTAATTATCTTTTGAAACAGAAAGAGATAATGGCAATTGGCAAGATAAGGGAGGATCACATTTAAAAAGGGGATTTTATCTGATAAAGTCCAGGTGGCAAAATCTGAAAGGGGATTAGACTAGGTCAAAAGGTGAGGTGTCCCACTACTCCAACAAACTACCTATGATTGAGTAACTGCCGGCACAAAGAGGAACAAAAAGGGAACTTCGGCACAAAGAGGAGACACGGCCAGCCCTACTCAAACAACTGCAACTTTTCATACTTTGATTTTCTCTACACATGCTTCCAGATTTCGGTTTTTCAGCACAGATTTCGTATTTCAGCGCAGATTCCATTAGAATTAGGTTGTTTTTCCTCATTCCAGTAGACAAATTTATTCCTATATTCAGTTAAAACAATTTTCCTTCATACAATGAACTTCAATCCTTCAAGTTTATGTAAGGTATTGTTTTCTTTTCATTTGTAATTAATTTAATGTTTATGTTAAGTAGCATTGCTTCAATGATTACTTATGTGGCCTTCAAGCTTCTTTCCAATTTCAAGTTTCTTCAATTTATTCACTGTTCACATTATTTATTCACTGTTCATGTTTAATTTCAGTGCTAATTAGGTTTAAGTTTCCAGATCTGCAGCAATTTAATTTATAAATCTGTCAACAGATTGCACTTTTAATTTTACCACAAGCATGTTTAATTTAATTTGGGAACACTTCTTTCTCGTAAGTTTATTTTAAATTGCAAGTAATTTAGAATAATTAGGATTTGTTAATTGTAA